AAAAAAAAAAAAAGACCTCTCTTGGGTAACGCTGGAAATAACCAGAGTTTCCCTGTGTGTTTACTTTTTTCAATATGCACAGATGACTCTTCTATCTTTAGATCTTATATATTTTTCAACTCCCAAACCGACACTCAATAATAAAATTTAATTCATGACCAGTCTGAGCAATGTAGGGAGACCCCATCTCAAATAAATAAAAATAAAACGTGACTAGACAGTCCCATCTTCCACAGGAATAAAAATTACACATTTATAAAGAATTTATAAATTTCTGTTGCACTTGATAAATAAAAGAGTGACCTTTCTTTTTCATTAAATAATTATTTACTGATTGACCGATGTATCCAGCACTCTGCTAGAACCTACAGAGGATAACCAATGAGAGACAGTAAATTTACTATTATGAAACTCACCATCTTACAGAAAAACAAAGCCTATGTATTATATGAATTTAGAGAACAATATCACACATAACAAGTAAATTTATGGACTCAAATATACAGAAACCTACTCTTTCTAATCCTTACCTGTTGACTCTCCGGGGCCGTTTTTCTGGTTTAATATCCACATCATAGTGATACACATCTATTTTAGGAATCTGAACCTGAAAATGATTGGCTAACAGTCGAATCGGTTTTCCAACAGTGCCAAGGCCGGGACGACGAGGTGGCTGAAACAGGCTGGTTGGAGGTCCTAAAGAGATTGAAAGGCATTTGCTCTGCTGTTTGCTCATAATGATGATGACACTAAGTGCAATTATTAAGAGCTGATTGTCACTGAATGCACTCTCATATAGAGTTTGAGTATCTTTTGACTTAAGTTTCTCTAGATTTCTAAATATTTTGCCATGTTGCTAAGATTTTGAATATGGGGACACCAAAATTAGCACGATCGATTCCTCTCAGACATAGGTTACTATATAGAACCTTTCATGAGCATATAGCTAGGTCTGCAAAATTATATGCATTAAAAAGAAAATCTTGACTCGGCGCCTGTGGCTCAAGCAGCTAACGTGCCAGCCACATACACCTGAGTTGGTGGGTTCCAGTCCAGCCCGGGCCCACCAAACAACAATGATGGCTGCAACCAAAAAATAGCCGGGCATTGTGGCGGGCACCTGTGGTCCCAGCTACTTGGGAGGCCGAGGCAGGAGACTCGCTTGAACCCAGGAGTTGGAGATTGCTGTGAGCTGTGATGTCACAGCACTTTACCCAAGGTAACAGCTTGAGGCTCTGTC